CATTCATCCATCCATCCCTTTATCTATTCCTAATCCAAGCATCCATCCGTCCATCCATCTATCTATTCCTAATCCATGCATCTATTCCTCTATCTAATTTTATTCCATGCGTCCATCCATCCATAGCTTTGTCTATTCCTATTCCACGCATCTCTCTTTCTATCCATCCATCTATCCATTCACCGACCATCCAATTATCTATTAGTAACAGACTGTACCCCATCAATAAATCGTCTTCCATAATCAAATTCCTACATAGCGTTCAACATTCATAATGTTGCATATGGCAGATTAATTAGGTAAGAAGTTTAGGATAATTAGATGGTAAAATTAACGACCATGTCACCATGATGAAGGAAGAAATTAGCAAGAATCAGGAAGTCAGTAATAGCTATTAAAATTCCTATTGTTTCTAACTTGATGCTAACAGAATCTGCTGGCTTGACTAATTGTTTGGATTTAAGGAACTACACAGCATTTAGACTCAACAGGTACAGTACCATTAAAGAAATTACAGGCAGATCCTGGGGTGACAAAAGGCTGCTTGTTCCCAAGCAAACAGCAAAAAATCTCTAACAAAATGTGTAATCATTTAAATAAAGAATTAAAATAGCTAAAACTCTCTAGGAGCTATACTCCCTTGACCCCCTAATAGTAACAGGAAACGGTATGACGGTAAATCTCCAACTCCATTGGATCAGAGGTCCCCGACTGGCATCTCAAGCCTACCTGCAGATAATCCGTAACTTTGATCCCCCAAATTATTGGATCATGGAGTCTATTTTATTTTCTCCATGATTGGATGGTTAAGATCAGATTGTTAGTTTCAGAAACTAACAATTCCACAATAACAAGCTGGCATTCTCTCACGAACTGATTTCATAGTTAATTTCTTAGAGCTAGAAAAAAAAACTGGTTGTGTGTTCAGAAATTGCTAATGAATTACAGCATAACAAGTAAACAGAGGGAAATATTTGACTTGGAAAATGCAATTACCAGCTTACAGGAAATAACAACAAACCAATTAAAAATAGGCTATTAAAGTGATTTATATTTAAATTTTAGTAGCTAATATTCATCCTTTCACAGTACCAAAGATAAACATCCTGTGTTCTTCATTTTGAATGGATGTGATGCAGACACAAGCAAATTTGAATCAACTACCACCCTCGCATTCCAGCTAAGTGGTGTCCATCTCGCACAACATCAGAATGATTGTACTGTGTACATTTCTAGATTAACAATACTAATATACAGTTAGCGCCTTTTGGCAAATGCGTCACTGGCAAAGTTTCTTGTTGACTAAATTTAACATGTTTGCTGCCGTGTATTACGAAGTTTTTACCATTTGCTGCAACAAGTTTTACAGGGCACTACCAATTTCACATATTCCCATTGTATGTAATCAAACATCAACAAACATATCCCATTGTACAGTATGTAACAAAATATCAACAAATATTTCAAATATATTTTTAGGTTATTCATATACACTCCTGAGCTGCCACTGGTATGTGCAGTTGTGTCCGCGCTGGTCACCATTATCCAATACTGGGCTATCTGCAACAGTCTGTAAGACGAGCATTCTGGTAAATTGCAGCAAACAAGTGAACTTGTCAATGAATAGTACTAGAAACATAGATAAAGTGCTATAAAGGACATGAACATCAGCCTCACTAAATCTCCTTGAGCGAGCCACGATTTTTAAATAAGATTGAACTAATATAATTTTACTAGTGAGACTCAATCCAATAATAAAAATAGTGAGTGTAAAATTACAAGTGAACTTCAAGTGTAGCACAGGTGAACTCTGAGCAGCATTATACAGTAGTTACAGGTATTAACATTTAATGTTGCTATATTTTGATCTCGCGTTTGAACACGACATTTTAAAATTAATCATGCCAAGGTAGACAGAAATGGAATTGACAAAAATGGAACTTTATTTTGTATTGTAGATTCAATTACTGTATTCAGATTTAGCCTTTGGCTCGTCTGAATAAATGAATATTATGCTGTTTCTTCATATTCATTTCTAAACTTATTGACAGTTTGAGAAGCTACGGTATTGGTATGAAGTATATTCATCAGAGGTAGTAAAAGTGTTTTATTAAATGCTGATCGAATCAACCTTCTTTAAACATGAAATATCATGAGTCCTGTCACGCTTTCTGCTTCAAACATGTATAGCACAGCCACACCATTGTCCAGACTATCAAATAGCATTGACAAAAACAAGACATGCCTAAATATGGGCATGATGACATCACATCATGACCATACATAGGCATATCAGTACTACACAGTATGATCATACAACCATTTCTTGTCAAAGAAAATTTGATTATCTGGAGAATGCTTTAGCTTTCAACTGACTTATCCAGCCTTCATCGAGATGTGATCAGCTGCCTAAAGGGCTTTCAAACCCTTAGCAGTGTGACCACCCTGTTTTGAGGCGATACTGCAACTCCTACTAAAAAAATAGTTTCTCTTTGATTTTCGTCCAATAGCAAATGACTAACTCATTACAGGATTGTTTAATGCTCTATCTAAACTATAGTTACTGTATCGTAAGGCTTAGGTGGGTGGAGTTGTTTTTAGTCATTAAAACATAAAAATCCTTGGATTAGTATTACTTATATTAAGTAACTTAATTTGGCTATAATTGAGTAACTCGGAAAGTTTGGCTGGCCCCTGGGGACAACAGCAGCAGTTCAATGCCACCTTGATATTATATAATGGGAAGTACTGTACAGTACACCACAAGGAAATCCTCGGTTCTTTTCTGAAAAGTATACTGCACAGATGCTGTTTTGTAATGTAGGTGGGACCTACTGTGCGGCTTTAAATGTCACTAGGCAGTAAACCAGATTGGTAATAACCAGAAAGGGAAAAAAACCAAAACCTGTTATCTGTTATGCCGACAATTGATTGCTAATTCTGCCAATATCCTGTAATATTACCAGCTTACTAAAGAATTATCTTTGTAATAATTAGGATAATAATGGGATTACAGAAATTATCGAAAAGAAGGTGTCATTGTTTAAATTTGGGATATTACTAAAGGTAGAGTCATTACAATTCATTCATCCCCTGCAAAACAATACAGTATCGTTTCCAAACATGGCTATGTATGAGCCTGAAGTGTAAAGGCCGGACACAATCTGTCAGCCATCAACCGCTGGCTCACAAATCCACCTCCACTTTCTCTCTTTCAACGCCGGACTAAGTGACGCAATTCGCAGATTGTCAGTTGTAAGCGGATCGTCACTTAACATGATCTTCAATGCATTTTGTTCTCAAAGGAATTATCAGCCTACGATACATTATCGGCCTACGATACTTGGCAGTGTTTGCCCAGTTTAATGGTAAAAACAGTCATGTACAGATCTCTATAGCAACATACAATCAATATTTATATTATTATTAATATAAAACAACCTCATGGCATAAAAATGATAAATTTATTGCTGAGATTGAGAAATGTAAGACCACAACCTTTCAAAATCCACAACAAAATCTTGATTTGAAGACTCCAACTTTTAACATTTCAGGCATTGAAAGAAACTGAGCATTCAGCACGATCAATTACAGTAGTTCGTGCTACAAGCGAACATATTAAATGAGAAACATTCTGGATAATAAATCTGACAATTTATATCATGATCAACAACTCAAGAAGCCTCATTTACGACTGTCTCCAAAAAATAAAAATATTTCAAATAGTGAAAAATTTCCAAATTCTTCTTGTACCATGTAGTTACCATAAATATTTTATATATCCATAAAATGTCAGATTGCACTGTTTACTCATTGATGAAGAAGGCAGTAAATATTCGCAGAAAATAGTTTTCCATACATAAAAATTGAGTCATGATTGCCAAGGTCTTGCGAGCCAATAAAAGAAAACATGAAATTTGTGAGACATGGATCCAGTGGCGGTGCCAGCTGCGGAAGGGGATTTACCCCTCCTCAACAAAAAGTATTAATAGGGTAATTCCTAAATAAAGTATTTTTTAAAGTAATTATATGAGTGCAGATTCTGAATGTACTGTATACAAAAAGTTGAGCAAGTACTATGATTTTCAGACCCAGAAAGTAAGTTATGAGACTTCAAAATCAAACAATCAAAATAACGACAATGCGCTGAAGCATGCCACACCCACTTTTTCGGACACTGGTATCTAGGAAATTTTGGTATGAGTTGAAATTTTGGATAAAATCCAAAACAGTCACTTTTGCGGCCATGTTGAATTGGCATGGAATGACCCAATAATCTATAAAAATATTTTATCACTTTTAAAGTAATGCCTAAGATAGATGCTCAAGATGTAGAAAAAATAATAATGCCAATGTAAAAACTGTGTGAACAGTTTTACACCACTACAGTATCAATCAATCATTCATGAAGTATGTTTCTCATTTTTATTCAATAATAATAGGTCGATTTATAATGCGCAAATAAACAAAATCTTTAAGCGCTACAAATAAATACAATTTACAATGGCACATGATTTTTAAACACGTTTATCTCAATTTGTGTTGCATTATAATGAAGTTAACAGCTTTTGGTTTTAAAGTCGTTTGTTGTATATAACTTATTTCCATACTATGGTTGTAACATTATAATTTTAAAATTTATTCATAATTATTCACTTGAATTTCTATACATTTACATACTTACATTAAACTATTTTATGCTTTTTTAATGTAGAGATTTTTTTTTTGTTATTTAGTAACTCTTTATTCAATTTAACAAAGGTTTATCTGTGTTAAATCTATAACAGTTTGATCATCAAAACTGTAATTTAAAGTTCAAATTGCATAAAAATAATAAAAGTTCCATAGACAGCATATGGATGGATGAATGACTAAAACAAACAGGTAACTAAATCAGCTAAGAGATAATGAATAATGCACAAGATTATGAATAATGATTACACATTAATGAATAAACAATGGGAATGGTAGGCCAAAATGTGAATACAAAATCAACTTACCCTCCTTCACACTCTTGCCTAAGATCCTCTCTTTGTTGATCTCTAGAATGATATCACCAATCTGCATCTGTAACGAACAAGTGGCAAGAATGAAATCATCCACAGATATGACACGCTAATAGGGATTGCCTGCAGTCCGGTGAACTTCCGGTGAGCTTAAAGTTTTTTAGCACACTAGACCAGTTGCAACGCTAATGACATCAGCAGGGAAGCGAGATAATAACTTAAAGGGGCAGTGTTGAAAAACATGCAGGCTATTCAAGGGTAGATATGTAGGTTTATAATGGTTTGGCATCGAGACAACTGATGGCGCTCAGTACAAATTCAATTGACACAAGGATTTAGCTCACTGAGTCACTATGAGGGAATCACTTCAAAATGAGAAATAGAATCCAAATTTAAAGTGGCTGTATTTTGTATGATACCGTAGGTAATAACATTTGAATTTTGTATCTTTATAGGTAAATTGGTCTTGAGCTCAATGCCTGAAGAGGTGGCCAAAGGCATGATTCATTTACATTACAATAATCTTTTTCAATTTATAGGTGTACACATCTTTATCCCAATTTTTTTTCTTTACAAATGATGTTTGTTTATTTTTTTGTATCTATTATGAAATATTATGTATTCAGGTACTGTATTACAATTAGGAACTTTTAACAAATCATATGATATGTAAAATTATTGTATGGGTAATAAATTTTCCAGCTCAGTTTTTTATTTATTTTTAAATGATGGCAATAAAATAGTTCATTTAATCATTTGTTGATAAGTCCACTAAAAACCGAAACCTATTAACACAGTATGGTGTAGAAATATGATCTCTGGGTTTGTATCTGACTGACACACACTCATCAACAGAACCGGTCTGAACAGTCGGCGCCTTCATTTTTCATTAATGAAGTGTACACCACAACAATGTTACCTATGAAAACTACCAATTCGATAGTGTGCAGTAAACAAATGGTAACAAATAATGAACATGTCATGTGTAGCAACATGAATAAGGCAATCTTAGCTCTACTCAGGCTAGTCCATTCGGACATGAATAGCAGTTTCAATGGTAAAATGAAAATAAAATGTTTCATTGTTGAGATTTCTTTTTCTTTATACAAGGATGACCACTGAGTCTGTTGCCACCCACACATAATCAGAGTTGATAATGTGATGAAGTTTTGCTTCATAAAAACAAAAAGGCTTTGTAATAAATAAATTGGGAAAGAGGAATGAGTAGTTTATCTAGGAGTTTTGAAATGGGGAGTTGGATGGACTGATGGGGAGGTTGCAAATGTGAAGTGGGGGAGGAATTGACGATTAAGGGGCCTGGCTCGCAAAGTATGGTGATATTAGTTAATTTTTAATTACTTGAGCATAATATTTTCAGTGGGGAGGGTGAAGATTTTTAGGAGTGTCACCATGTACACCCCGTAGATATGCCACTGACTAGAATAATTACAACTTGTAACATCTTGTTACATTTCATCTGTCTGTTCATTGAGTATTGCAAAAACCCCAAAAACCTATCCACTCTAAGATGTTCATGGGACTCGCAGTCATTGCTCATATCAAATATTATTATTAAGAACAAGATGTCTGCGTTGATAAGACTTTATGTGGATGTGTTCAACGTAAAGTAAAGCCGACAACGAGTCAATGATACATAACCAAAGCAGAATAATTATAAATCACTGACAGGATAATTAATCTGTCTCACTCATCATATGACATTTTTCTAAGAAAATTTGCCGTCATCGTTGATGTCACTGATGTTACTAGCAATAATCATTAAATGATTAATCATTATCATATTGTATGATTAGAGAACCTTTCTTTATTGCTAACTTTAATTACTATCTGAACTACCGGTAGTAAAATCTGGAATAACCCTGAAAAATTTACAGTAAAAAGGATCAAAGAAGTTAATTTCAAATGATACACAAATCAAATAAATTCACTTTTTGTTGATTTAAAAATTTTTGAATATGATCTATTTAAATATATTATCAACCATTTTAAGGAACCATGCATAAGATATAGAGTATGGTCGCCTCAAATTAAAGACCACTTTTTTACGGTCTAATATTAACAAAAGTCACTTATCTTTATTAATACTATTCTAATTAGGGACCAAAGCTGTTAAAGACCATGGAAGTCCTGGTCCCAAAAGTGGTCTTTACTTGCAGGAAGACTTGCATAATTATTCTATGCATTTGTGGGACAAAACATTTATTTTTGTTCCAATTGCCAATTGAAAGCCAATGACAGAGTTAAAATACGAAGTAAAGCAATTCACAAAGATCAGTGTAGTAAACAGCAGTGTAAAAAAATAACTGTTAAAATAAACAAGCAATGCGATATTATTGGTTACTTTTTTTCTTTCAGTCAGCTAGAAGAACAAGTCCACCAGACCTGGAGAGCTTACAGTATATCTACTCAAGATAAAAAATATCATTCACAACACAATTTTTCTAGTCTTACATAATTAATGAAACTGCCCAATTCCAACACATGGGATTTGTGGCAAATTACGGGCTCTATGTGCTGTAAAATATCTACAGTATACATGAATATTGATGGAGTGATTGCTGGGTAAGGCGTCACTGAATATGAAACCAGATCACATTATTTTTTTTCGCACATAGTTTGGTGTACAGCAATGTACTAATAAGTGTCAAATTGGTATGTAGTATAATATGTTATTAAAAGGTCACTGACTAAAACAAGAATGGAACACACTTTATGAACTACTGTACACGTACAGTAGGACCTAGTGTCCTAGACAGTAAACTGTTACGGTATACTGCATTTCTTATTTACTTACGGCGATAATGACAACAAATGAAAGAACGATACATTAAATTGCAGTGTTAACAGAATGCCCACTTACCGCACTAATCATATTTGGGTTTGCAAGTCACAACAAAAGAAACTGATCAAAGTAATGGAAGAGCTGTCTTTCGCCAACTGATGTTCTCAGATGAGTGAGACAATACTTTGAGAAAATGTTTTTAAGTGATCGTGTTTGTTTTATCATCGGAAGAAGTTCATTTGTTGTCTCAAAAGTATTATGGTAATAGCTCAATCTATCAGATTGTTGTATAAGCAGACAAACTGAATGTTGTTATCTTACTGGTAGGATATTTATGTTTAATCTGTGATAAAAATCATTTTTGACTCATGTTTTTATCCTATGTTGACTTTTGTTAATTTGAGAGACAGCCAATAAACAAACAGGTTATCAATATGGTATAGAATTTAAAGTTATTTGACCTTTCAATGTCATAACCTTTAGATCTAATTATCAATCATTATATAAAACAGGTTTATGACAATCTATAAATGGTTTTTGAAATACATTAAATTTGAATTCACATGATCCAAGATTATCTCACCCACCATAGCCTACTATGTCGCCAAAGTACTACAGTATAGTATGTAGGATGTTGAGTTCCATGGAGGATAGCCATTTCAGGCTCATATCAAATGAGGTACACAACCAACTGTAAAATGCCCACAAAATATTTGCTTGACACGCAATCAATAGCTCATATACCTACCATAGTAGCAATTACAGTGTGAGAAAATAGTACTGTACAGTACCAGCTTTTTATCTTAGTAGAATGGGGCATTTACAGTAGCAGAGAACAGGGGCAGATCCAGAGATGCCCGAAAGGGGGGGGGCGGCCGAAATTTGGGCCAACGAGACAACAATGTCCTAGGGGTCCGGGGGCATGCCTCCGCGAAATCTTTGTGTTCTAGACGCCCGAAAATAACATTTGAGGCGTTCTGGGCTATCATTTTTTCTTTTTCTTTCTTTTTTCTTTTTTTACCTCCCAAAAGGGGGGGGGCCCCCCCCCCAAATCCGCCCCTGTAGAACCATGCATTCTCAGTTAATTTGATGAGCAAAATGGTACATGGCATTAGGAAAGAAGTAATGTAGCGTGTTACAAACAAAATGGTTCATGTGGCCAACTGTCATAGCAGAATGTCATAATGCACTATTGAGCAGGATGGTCCTATTGTAGGCTCACTGCTGTCATCATAGTACAGAAAGCAGAATGTTCCATATGGTACACTGTCAAGAGTCTCAGAAGCAGAACTGACCAATGCAATGAAAGAACCTGAATGCCCATATGAAAGCATTTTACAGTCTACAGTACAACACAATCAATCTGACTAATACTAATGGGCCACTGTAATACTTTTAAGATTGCACAGAACAATTAAAGCTGAACAAATAATATTAAACTTCAAATTAATAACATTAATTAATAAATTATGATCACAATCCTAATTATGTACTGTTATAATTGAATTTAAAGATTAATAATGTACAATAAATTTGTAAACCTATACATAAGTATATATAGAAATTGCTTAGAATAAGCAAATTATAAGCTTGAAAAAATCTAGTTGAATCTCTGTATACAGTATTTCAATGAACATGTGATATTACTTTAATTTTAGTGACAATTTTCAGTAACCTAATTAATTGTGGATAATTTTTTTTTATTCCCTGTTCGTTTAAAGTATTTTGTTGATATCTTTTTATGTTTAATGGATTTTATATATTTTAACAGTAAATTTGATCATAAATTAAGGCAATTACATTCTTTTTATTATATTAATCTGTGAACTACATAATTTCCAATTTTTAGACTGTAAGTTAAATTTTAATCACAGTTTCATGCTTTTTCTCGTATTAATTCTTGAAAAATTGTTGTTACTCCTCAATTTTGTTTATGAAATTACTAATAAAGAACATTTGAATTAAATTTGAATTTGAATTGAATGCTGGCACTCTCTAAAATTACTGTACTGGGCCACTGCACTATGAGCATAATGGCTCCAAGTAAAAGACCATACAGTACCTGTATATGCACATCATCATTTGGTATTCATTTTGTTTTACAGTACTCAGTAAACTGCACCGTGGACATAAACTAAGTTCTTTATAAAGTAGATGCATAAACCTGTAGTAAAATGTATATCATTCAAGCAATGTCAATTTCCACAACTCCATTGGGATTTTTCGGTGCTCCATAGTACTTCAACGGAAAGATCTGA